CAAATGGCTTCTGTGGAGTTAGTTTTTCTGGACGAAGACCAATGTAAGAGCAATGTACCGAAAGAGGTGAATTGGGGTTTGCACAGCCCATACTCCCAGATCTCAAGTCATTCAGCACCAGGGTCAGCTCCGTTGGAAGGTCACAGTCAAAAGCATGTGCACCATGCAACTGCCAGAGACATCAAGGTGTGCTGTGATGAGGAACTGGAGACTTCTTTTACATACATTGATGAAAATGTCAATTTGCAGTGTGCAGGCTCACCTCTGTCTGATAAAAGCTACCATATCCAATCTAACCACAGCTCTTTCGCTGAAATTAGGCAAGTTGCTGACGGACTGCAGGACCTCTCAATCACTTCTGATGATGACAACGCCTCTGAGGCCTCGGGCACATCAGTGGATTATGGATTCATCAGTGCATTACTGTTCCTTTTCAGTGGGATCACATTAGTTGTCATATCTTACGTGATCCCCCGTGATGTGACTGTGAATCCAGACAGTGTTTCAGCCAGGGAAATGGAAAGACTGGAGAATGAAAGCGCTCGACTGGGAGGACATCTGGACAGGTGTGTGATAGCTGGACTGGGCCTCTTAACCCTTGGGGGCATGCTGCTGTCCACATTACTCATGGTGTCTATTTGTAAAGGTGAGTTGTATCAGAGGCGGAGGTTCGCGACTTCAGGGCGATCCGGAAAAATTTACGGTTCATTCAATTTTCGCCTGAGATCTCCAGATAACAACACAAGGCGATACTCTCTGGATAGTGCAGAGACAATAGTAATTGATTAACAGTATATTTACAAATGTCAAAAGCTACAATTTATTCACCAGGCTAATTGCAATTCTAAGACTGTACTGTCAAATTTGTAATATTCACAACATCCCATTTAATGCTCCACTGATCTAGACTTTACATCTTTTAGTAGGAAATACAAAGAACAGTACCAAAAGCATTCCTTGATGAAGCACACTGTATTCTCTTCTTACACTAAATGAAGGTTGACCCAGTTTCTAAAGCCCATTTTATTGCTAGTATTAAGTATAATGTAAATATTTCATAACTCCAATAAGACTCCCAGGTGCTAGATTTCAATACAATTTTGAACAATTTTTACAATTATATTAGCACACCATTCTGGGCACATAAATGTTACTTCAAAATAAATTGATAATTATCTTTCCTTTCTGAAAACTCATTTGCTCTTGTGATGATATAGATATCTTAATGTTATCTTTATGCACTGTATGGAATTACAATGATAGTCTGTGTTTTCGCACATCTCCTATAATCATTAGCCCTTTTTGCACTGGTGCCTTTTGCTTGACTTGAAAACATAATTTTCTAACATTTCATAAAAGTTCTTGGCTTTTTAATCTTAAGTGATTCTTGGTGATTTTGCAGCACATTACAGTTTCCACAGTTTGCTCAGCTGCCCTCTGCTAGCCAACGTCATCAATCTCACCCTCTCCTCCTCCACCCTCCCTTTCAAAACTGTCGTCATTACACCTTCTAAAAAAAACTACACTTTATCCCTTAAAACTCTCTAGGTATTGTCCCATCTCCAACCTGTCCTCTTCTCAAAGGTGCTGGATGGCATCAATGCCTCCTAGTTATTTTCCTTCCTCCTTCCTGTTTGAGTCCCTCCCACACTGCCACAGCACCAAGAGAGCCTTGATCCAAGTCACAAACACTAATCTATATGTCTGCAACCAGGGCTCTCTGTGCCTCCTTGCTCACTTACATCTCTCTGTGGGCTTTTCTCCCTGATACAACTCTATGGCTCTGCATTTTCCTGGTTTCACCTCTATCTGTCTCAATGTCTTCATTTTACCTCTAATGGCTCCTCCTCCTGCCCTTGCTTAGTCATGCCTCCTTGTTCACTTACATCTCTCTGCGGGCTTTTCTCCCTGATACAACTCTATGGCTCTGCATTTTCCTGGTTTCACCTCTATCTGTCTCAATGGCTTCATTTTGCCTCTAATGGCTTCTCCTCCTGCCCTTGCTTAGTCATGTGTGGTGTTGCCTGGGGCTCTATCCTCAATCCTCTCCTTTCCCAATCTACACAATCCCCCTTGGTGGCATCATCTGCAAGCATGGGGTCCATTTCTATATGTATGTGATGACACCCAGTTCTACTTCCCCACCCTCAACTTCAGGACCACTATTTTCTGATAGACTGCCTGTTAGACAACGAGTCCTGAATGAGCCTTACTTTTTCTCCAACTCAATGCCAACAAAACTGAGGCTGTACTCCTCCATTCCCATCTGCATTTCCTCATCTCAAGTGCTGACTATGTTAACCTCTCTGCAACTCAGGCAGCTTGTACAGAAACTTAACATTTTTTTGATGCTCTACTCTCCTTTGTTTTTTTTAAATCTGGGCTCTGACTGTGTCCTCCGTCTTCCATCTCTGTAACATTGCCTGATTCCCATCACTACATCACTACCAATGAAGCCCAAATCCTCATCTATGCCTTTGTGGAACCTCCAGATTCGATTTCTACAATGCCTCCAAGGCCTTGCAACAACATACCTCTGGGATCTCCTGTGACCCCTCCTCCCATGGCCACACCTTCCTTCTGCCCACTCCAGCCCGCTTCATGCCCCTACCTGCTCTGCTCCATCATCAGCAACTTTATCCCCACCCTCTTGAACTCTCTCCCAACATCCCTCCACCTTGCCCCCCTCCATCTCTCTGCTTTCAAAACCCATCTAAAGACCTACCTCTTTGACTGCGCAGTCAGCTACCCCTCTTGTCTGCTTCACAGCTGTCTTTGTAAATCACTTTAAGGTGTTCTTCCTATGTGGAAGGCACTATATAAATGCAAATTGTTGTTATTTTTCTGTTTATCTTGGGCACCTGTAATTTGTATAGCATATAAATCACATGATATGTCATATCACAATCTCAAGTGAATGTAAAAGATACTTTCTGACTGCAGATTCCTTAATTAATAACGATAATCCTTGAATTTGGTATAGCACCTTACCACGTCTTCTAGACGTCACAAACGCTTCACAGAATATACTGTAAAATGAATTGACTGTGTAGTCTGTGGGCGAAATACCCACTGCAGATTCCTTAATTTATCATAGTTTATGGGAGGCAAAGACAACAATATTAATGGGAATATTGAATGCATCAGTTTCTTTTTGTTTATTCCACATTATCTAATTCAGAAATATGCATCATCAGTACTGATCAGTTCAGAACCTCTTGGTAAAGATTATTGTTCTTATATTATATTTCTAAGCTACCATTATTTTTACAAGCAATATGCAACTAAACATTTATTTAAATTCACACTATATAACTTTGTTTATAAACATACAAATAAAATTCATCTTAACATGCAAAAGTTATATAATTGTATAGGTATCAATGTATATCAGCAAGTATTAATGCAAGTATTTATTGCCTTATTCAAATGTATGATGTTTAGTGAAATGATATGTTCAAATTGCCTAATTTATGGAAAATTATTGATTGAAAATAAAGTGCTCTTTCATTTGCATTCTAATTGTTCACAGTGTTCCAGCGACATACTTTCTCCAGCACATTATTCAAAGCGAATAATGTTACCTGAGTACACAGTCACCATGCAATTTACACTTCGGTAGATATTCTGCACATAGCCCTTTCACCTCTGCTCCACAGTCAGGCTGCTGCGTGCCATTCAAGCACAGGAATATTTCCATGTGCAGGTGGCATATACATGTGGAACACTCAGTCTGGTTTAGATACTCTTAAGCAAGGTGATGGGTTTCTGCATTGTCAGACATACAGCTGACCCCAACACCCCCCTCTCCCCTTGTTTTCTCTTTGACCGTGCCTTCGTGCCTTCAGCTCCCCTCTCGACTCTCTTCCTCCTCCTCGCTCCCTCCCTTCCCTCCCCTCACCCTGACCATTTCCCCCCTCCTCTCTCCCTCCCTTCCCTCCCCTCACCCTGACCATTTCCCCCCAATGCTCGGGTCATGACCCAACTGTGCAGCGCCTTGGGACGTCCTCCTGACGTGAAAGGCGCTTTATAAATGGAATCTTGTTGTTGTTGTTGTTGTTGTTTAAAAGTTTTGGATAGAATTTCCAATGGTGGGTAGTCCTTCTGCCATTCTGCCCACCCCACCCCTCCCCCCGGAATTGCATCCCGCAGTCCCTCTGCCTCACACCCTCCCTTGCCTCCTTCAAGACCAGTCTGAAGAAATACTGATTGTTCAACACCTTGGGATATCCTCCAATGTGAAAGTGCTATACTGATTGTTCAGCGCCTTAGGATATTCTCCCGACGTGAAAGGCGCTATACAAATGTAATCTTGTTGTTGTTGTTGCTACACAAATGTAATTCTATTGCTGTTGATACTTAATGACAGTACCAAGAATTCCCAAGGCAGATGCAGTACAAAATTTTGTTTACTGTGTGCAATCTCTCCAAAAGTACTACAGCTCTTTCTTCAATTTTCTATTCTTTCAGAGTGAAATTACAGAATTAGTGTCAAATATAGTTGGAGTTAGGATTTGTGGATTTAGGATGAATTACTTTCATTAAAGAAGGACAGGTTTAATTTCCACTGACTAGGGTGTGCTCAAACCTAGGCCCCAGAAATTGTACCAATGTTTGCAGATAATGTATCTCTAAATTTTCTAAAATTACAATAGAATGCAATTTTCACTTATATAGTGCCTCTCATGTTGGAAGGATATCTCTGGGATGGGAACATTTTTACCATGGTCTTTCCTTCCTTAGGGCCAAAGTGCTCAATGTGAACAGCATAAAAATTTTACATGACCTATGTGGTCTGGGTAAAAATAAAAGGCTCAGAGGAGACTTTGTCTCCGTGGCAGCGGGGTGGCCCTCATATCCAGGGCATCACTTACCCTATCCCCCTCATATCCAGGGCGACACTTACTTCAACCTCCACTTCATCCCCTCCTGCTCTAACTCCTCAGACTTCTCCTCTCTCCTCTCCTCTCTCAACCTCTCCCTCCACATCCACTCTGCTACCCACACCACGGCAACCCACTCGACCTGGTGATCACCTGGGGCCTCAGCATCTCAGATGTCAACATCACTGACAAGGCCATCTCTGACCACCATTTAATCTCCCTCAACTCCCATAGCCCTCTCCCTACTGCCTCCAAACCTACCACCTTCTACCACCCATGGAAGAAGATCTCCCCGCAATCCCTCTTCGCTGCCCTGGAGTCCTCTGAACTCTTCCCCCTCTGGCCCACTTCTCGCACCAACCCACTCTCTGCGCATACACTTCTCCGCAGCACCCTCTCCACCACACTCGATGTCCTTCCTCATCTCCCTATCCTTGACTGGTTCAGATTCTACCTTTCACACCGTCTCCACTTCGTCGCAGCAAACGGCTTCTCCTCCAGACCTCACAACATCTTGTGCGGTGTTCCTCAGGGCTCTGTCCTCAGTCCCATCCTCTTCACCCTCTACATGCTCCCCCTTGGTGACACCATCCGCAGACATGGGGTAAATTTCCACATGTATGCGGATGACACCCAACTTTATATCTTTGCCTTCACCCTCAACTCCAGGACTACTAGCGTCCTGACCAACTGCCTGTCTGTCATCAAGTCCTGGACGAGGGATAACTTTCTCCAACTCAACGTCAGCAAGACTGAGGCCCTCACCCCTACACCACCCCTCCTGATTGGCTCACGCCAGTGCCTCTGAACCAGGGCTGGCAGCATCAGCATCTACGGCTGAACATTCAGCCTCACTAAGCCAGTCAGAAACCTGGGTGTCTTGTTTGACCCTGAACTGTCCTTTCTCCCCCACATCCGCGCCATGACCAGCACTGCCTACCACCGCCTCTGCAACATTGACAGACTTCGCCACTACCTCAACCCTCAGGTTGCCAAAACCCTTATCCATGCATTCGTCACATCAAGGCTCGATTACGGAAACTCCCTCCTCATCGGCCTTCTCAACTATTCCCTTCACAAGCTGCAGATCATCCAATACTCCACAGCTCGTGTAAGCTAGCGCACAAGGCACCGTGACCCCATTACTCCCACCCTCGCCCGACTCCACTGGCTCCCCATCCCTCAAAAGATTGAATT